ACTTTCAAATATGTGACGTCACAGCCCAAAATTACCTCCTTCCCCAGGCCACATTACTGTCATAAAGCTGATTCTTTTTACTCTGTAGGCACCACAACAAAGTTCAGACCAAGTTTTAAGCGATTTGTCAACGAACAAACCCATTTAAATCAGAATGACTAAACGAGGTGACGTCACACTAACGGTCGTTCCATGTTGAAGATAGGGCCTTGTACAAGGCCCATTTTCAAATGAAGGGAACGAATTTCTTCAACACCAAGAGGCCGCGGGGGTTGCAACCTAGATAGATAGTGGTTTCTGAACCTCGCCGCAAACTTGGCTATCTCAACTCAAACCCCATGTTAAAGGTGGGATAGTCCCTTTAATGTTTATCTCAGAACTAAGTTGCCAATCGTGTCTGTCAAAATCCGGTTATCTAATTGCAGCAAATGATGTAGGCGTATGCCATGTGTCATATGTCGATCGCTGATGCAATAATCCCCTCGCCAACATTGAGATGGGTGGTGCTGTCTCCACTCTCCGGGCGGGATTGTCAGACAAGCTGCAGCCAAATCCCGTCACGTACTTACTGTCCCGTCACGTACAGGAACTGCGGCACGGCCTCCCTGAAGCCCAGCTTCCCGGATGCGTGATGGACGGATTCCGATGAGCCTGGTCGATGTGGTGGTGGAATACTCTGCAGACCCAGAGCGTGACCACAGCACACGCACAAACGACTCTGGTTTATGCAAAGAGCCGGAACTTGCCGCCTTGGCGCTGAATGTGGCTGGCCGTCTGTTGTGTTGCCCACGCCATGTTGTGCCGCAGTGTTGTCGTTATCGCCGGGAGGCCTACTCAGAGGGTCCCTCCCTCACCCCGCGCCGCTGGTTCCGGTAGTCACTCAGCTCTGTTTGCCCGTCGCCAATAGAGGCGATGGACCGGCAGGAGCCCAGTTGGCCGCCGGCCAGCGACTGTGCGCCGCTCCTCTGTCCCGGAGCGTGTTTTCGCCTCCAAGCACCGACCGCGTTGCCATTGAGGAGGCCGTCGTGCCTCGTACGTTATTCGTGATGCGTTGTTTGTTGGCCGGATCGGTTCTTTATCGCATACGATGGTGACCCAGTGCGTTGACGAGGGGACGGGAATGGACGCGGCTTGGGGAGTATTGTCCTCTGTTGGGGTGGGAGAGGGTGCAGTCGATGGATCGTAAGTGGTGGCTGATGTGCGATGGGTGTTGAAGGGTTGGTGGCTGGCGGCGAACGGACGTCGGGCGATGTATAGTGGGCGGTGGGCGGCGAGCAGTGGGCTTCGGGCAGTGGGCGTTGGACGATGGTCTGCAAAAGCTCGGGGTTGAAACACCAGGACGTGATATTGCGCGCATGTGAGTTACGCGGCGCTAGCTCAGCGGTGATATGAAATTGCATTCGTGACCGTGGCCTGCAGAAACCCTCTCGAACTCACGTAGCCGAACCGCTATTGAACCGCTCGACCAGCGTTCAACACAACGATTGTTCGTATTGTGACTGGAATTTGACGGCGACTGCTAACTGCTCAACGCACGTAAGTTGGACCGGCTGGTGCGGACGGTAGTGCGGCTGGCAATCGGCCCTGCTCAGTAGCGGTCTCCTTCTAACGGTCCAGTGTCATGGCATGTGCAATAAAGACGGTATCACGGCCGGTGACGAAGCGCTGAAACTCTGGGGAACTTTGAAAATTGTTTCCAGTGAGGCTCGATGAAGGTCGCTGGACGATGAGCTATGATGACAGGCTTTTTGTCGTCTGTTTTAGTGGCCGGGCAGGTCGTTGGTCGGGCGAGAGGGCTGGGTCACTCGGTAGACTTGTGATGGGGTCAACGGAAGGTCGCGTTGGACACCCGTGGCAACTGTCTGGCAACTCTCTGCCCGGGATCAGAGGGCGCTGCCGACAGCAGCCCGATTTTGCGAAGGCATATAGAGCGGCGACGTCCGGCTGAACTTAGCTCTAGCCAGGTGCCCAGCTGCCTGCAGCATCCGGGTGTATGAATTGGGACCCAATATAGCTCCTGCCATGCATAGGAACCATGTCGAGAGCGGTGGATGTCACGATTATGATCTCCATTTAGATAGATATCCGAGTGGAATGAGTCTTTATCAGGCCTGTCTGCCTGACCAGCTCTCGTTTGTCGGTCGTAGTGTCGGACGCTCGTCCGGCTATCCACCGTGCGGCGGCGGCAGCACTCTGGGAAATGCTCGGCTAATGCCGGTCCTTCTTCAGCGCGGCTGCGCTCAGTTTCAGTGCCGCATGGCACGACAGCGACGACTGATGGCGGCCGGCCGCGCCACGACCGCCCCTGCCGCGCCGTTACTTATTCATGGAACTCGTGAAGCGGTCCTCTAGGGCGGCCTTGAACTTGAGGGCCTGGAAATGGCGGTTGGAGCGCGGTGGAACTTGGCTCGATCGAGGAATGATGACGCTTCTGCTGGCTGAGCTGCTCTGAACCTCAAATAGAAGACGAAATGGATGGCACTGCCGGAAAAGACGTAGAGGCACCGTCGGCGGTGTTATATGGTCTGTTTCCTCGAGTGGGGTCCGTGCTTAAACATGGAATGAAATCTCGGCACATCATGCGGCGTGAATAATTTCGGCCAGCTCCGCTTCAAACACATTTATCATTTATCATCTGGCAGCGCTTGCAATCTTAGGTCTATATTAGTGTCATGAATTTCGGCTCCGCTAATAGAATTACAGCTCGGCCTGCGGCCTCAGCATTTTCCTTTGTCAGCTGGCGCTGTATTTTGCAGTCTGTGGGGAAATACAGGCTCAGTGTGGTCACTAAAGCTGGGTTTCCAGCTGCACCGGCCGGCGCCAGGGGCGGCGCCCGGCTGATAATGCGTGACTATGGCGGTGGCACCTGTCTGGCGACACGCCCATTCCAGTCACTGAGCCAGGTGCACATCCGGGCGTCAGCTGAGCGGCCGGCTGACCGACGGTGACTCACCTGGTCCGCCGTCACAGCCGTCAGAGGGTCGGTATTCAGCAGTGACCGGTGACCCGACCCGACCTTTGCATACAGCCACAACCCTACCCGGCGTGACCCGCCGGACTTGACACATCTGAGAAACAAATAACGTCCGCTCGCTCTTGTTTTAGCATTGCTTCTAATTGGCTTCTTCACACGTTTGTCTTATTCAGATCCGTTCTTGGCCAAACCTTCACGGTTCGCAGATGGCTGTCATGAAAATATAGTCGGATCGTGATTCGTGAGCACTGAGCAACCATCGTATTGACCGGCGCCGTCTCACGTGGCTCCGTTCCGCCCCGTCGCCGCCGCTGCGTCGATACCTGGGTACCTATCGGCGGCACCGGGCGCCTTGTCTTCATATCGACCAGTTGGCCCGCTCCCTCTCCCCCCCCCCCCCCGTCGCGTCGCCAGCTGATCGGTGGTCCCGGGCAGAGCGGCACGCCCTGCGCCCTGAGGAACACAGCCGCTCAATGGCAGCCGGGCGTGAGGACACATTCGGTAGATCGTCGCCGCTCGCGTGTCGCCGGCGACTTTCACCGGTCGCGGTTTCCTGGACGACGACCGGCCGGCTGTTGGTGGAAGGATTGTGCTGCGTGTGGGCCTGCGGCCGGGCTGTGCACGGGCCGTGTGGAGCCGTGCCGTTCTGGTGCCGTGCACGCGGCGTGCTGTGCTGGCACGGTTTGACGCGGCCGACCGCCCGTGCTCCGTGCGATGGCGTGCGTGCAGGTCCCGCGTGCTTCCGCCACAGCCAGCTGGTGTGAATGTGCGGTATCAGCCGGATGCGGTACTGCTTGCCGAGCAGACGTTGGGTTGGACTGCCGAGTGCCAGAAATATAGGCTACTTAGTTCTCAACTGAAAGCTCCGTGTGTACTCTGCAGTAATGATCAGGACATGGCATCCGCATCAGGACCGTCTGTCCGCATTATTGACATTTGCAGAGTACGGTCATTCACCCTCTCGGACCAAAAGCGCCAGCTCATCGTGCGTCGGTGTTTTGTTTCACTAGGCCACACCCAGCACGGCAACGACATCGACATGCAACTCAACGCTGGTGTTACCGTTACCTCGCTCCTGCATCCGTTTAGTGTTTCTCCCGTTATGCCCCCCCCCCCCCCGATCCTTTGTCCCAACATACACAGTGGTTCCACACACAACCCATCCCACCCCGCCTCCACGGCCTTCTAAATCTACACATTCCCTCCCCGCTATCCCGTGGCGTAATCATCATCAGCGTCGCCATCATGCGCCGGTTTTGCCGTCGCCGCCTCCTAAGTGCGCCACTCTTTGTCGCCATCCGGTCCTGCGCGATAAAGCTGCGGCCATTCTGCCGCAGCTCGGCCTTTGTGGCCAGGGTTTGTGTCCGGAAGGCAGCGGTGCTCGAACTGTTTCCCGCTACTGGCCTTGGAGCGATCGAACTCTAATTTGTCGTCGGTCTGTAATTTGGGCGTTGTTGTGGTAGCACTGATACTGTTTTCTCTTTGTGTCGCCATCAGCAGCTGCGATGGTACCGTAGAGTTGTTACTTGGGGGCGATGCACTTTGTCCGCTTTGTTGTAAATTTGACCCGGCTGACGGGCGGTGTAGCCTGGTATTGTGAAATGCTGTAGGTAACTCCGAGGTTCGTTTTGACAGTATCACTTTATTGCCTGTTCGAGCAGCGATCGAAGTGAAGAATGATTAGGCCCGATCACAATCTGATCGGGCCTAAAATTGTTCCGATAAACGTGGCTGTGAACTGAGTGCGATCCATTTAATCTGACCTTCACGCGACCATGACCGGGTTATGACCTACCCATCTAATAATGAGCTGACTCTCCTGTCACCTGTCATGCTAGCGTGTTCTGACACTGTCGGGCCGTGCCACCCACCACCGCTCATGTCAGTGACTGACGTTTCTGACCCCTGCGTCTGCCTGTCGCTCTTCCCTTTGCGAGTGATACCATGACCGGTGTCAGGTGTGTCGCTCTGTTTCCAGTCGAATGATGCGAGTGGTACCCTGACCGATGTTTCTCTCTGTTTCCAGTCGAATGATGGAGCTGGGCTCGCGGCGACCCACGCTCACCAAGCCGCCCTGTTACCGGTACCCCGCCGAGGCCGGCTACTCGGCCGCCGAGTCTGGGTACGGCGACGAGTGCGGCCTACTCAGCTGTCGACCGCGCGCCCTGCAGCGGTTCGCCAGCATCAAGGTGGGTGACGGGGTCGCGTCGGCGGAGACGGAGAGGCTTGCGATGTGTGTACCTGCGTTGATGGGCTGCAAAATAGGTATTTTGTTGTGTTGATGTGTGCGAGTTGATCTTGTGGGACTGCCAAAAATCGTGGCGTGCCGCGATGAGTGTCATATGCTGAACGGTCGTTGTAATATGCACTCTGCACCGGGAAGTATCAAATGATCAGCAAGAAAAACAACGCACAACCCACGATTTACGGTTTCCTGTATGTTTGATGCAGTCTTGCAATGCAATCCAGCCATCCAAGAAACTTTGCGCGAGACGTTTTCTTGGATGGTTTTCTTGGATAGCTTGATTTCATCGAGGGCTTCTGTTTTAAAGAAAATTTGTAAGCTTTGCTGAACTGTTGAGTATTTAGAACTGCCAGTATTTCAGTATCTAACGTGTAGTTATTGTTACTGTATTTTATTTATGCATATTTCGGCCTTTTTTAAGCAGATAACGAACGATATTAAGAAACATACAGGAAATCAACAGGAAATAATATCTAGGACTCTACCGCGACGAAATATTTCTATCTCGAGTTTTCAAAGAATTTCATGCACTCGGCCAAGGCCTCGTGCATGAAATCCTTTGAAAACTCTCGATAGAAATATTTCGTTTTCGCGGTATCGTCCAAGAATGTATATTCAGTGTGGTTATAGTTGATAGCTGGAATCAATCCGTGTTCGTTTCAGTGGCATGTGCTTCGCTGCACGCAGGTTTTGTTTCAATCATGCTTCCTGGCTCGGATTTTCCTGGTATTTTGCGTGGTAGTTTTCCGAGGGTGGTCGGCTGATGCCGACTGCTAGTTTCTGCCAGTCCTAATGCTATCCCTAATACCATCTCTGCAGGACTGGGATACGGGCGTGCAGGGGCGCCTGAACCTCCGTGAGGTCTGATGTCAATGCACCGTGGGGTAGTGGTGTCGCTGTAGGTAAGGGTTCTCTTAGTGTATTATGATGAGGTCGATGAGGCCACTTCTGTGGAAAGGAAGTTAGACAGGTGTTGGTGGGCACGACCCTGAAACAGAATTTCCTGGATTGGCTCAGGTATTGCCATAATACCGGATTCACAATCGACAGAACGGGTAGTCAAGTCAGGCAGCCCAGTATAACGGTAGTGTGGCATGGATTTCCTATAAGCCCGACAGAGGCGTTGTGTGTCCCAGAATTATAGGTGCGCTTCACTAATGTCATGCCTGTGCCATGTTTATATTTATATTTATTGCCACCGTAAAACGAATTCAACTGCACGGCGATGCTCCATTGCCTATTGATCTAAATGATGGCAACGGCGCCATTCCAGCAAAAGTCGAATGGTTTTCGCAACAGTGAACATGCATGAGTGCCACCAGCTTCCTTGCTAGGCATCACTTAAACTTCCGCCGCTGCTAAAGATCGATGTAAATGGTGTGACGTAGACTTGGCAATGTATTTCCGTCCCTCAAATTTTGTGGAAGTAATGTTCCTTATGTCGACTCAAAATCGGTTTCTTGCGTTGCTACATCTTAATAATGAAGTTGTTATGTCCGAAAGCGTCAAGCCATTCACCTTATGTGCAGTTTTTGCACGTGAAAGAACGTTCGGGAGCAGTGCATATGGTTAGGTTATTTCCTGTTCTGTCCGGCCACTGGCGCCTGCTGCATGGCTCACTGGTTCTGTTCAGTGGACCGTTTTCCTCGTCAGCCGCGCCGGGTCCTGTCCGTGTGGTATCCATACTGCACCATGGCTCCGTTCTGGACCGCCCCGCCCCCCCCCCTCGCTGCCGCGTGGGCGGTCGGATCGCAGCATCACACCGGCCGGGCATTGTCATTTCACGGCTGAAATGGTGCTGAGATGGCCCGCCTCCTCTCGCCGCCTGCCAAACGGATGTTTCGGAGCTCTTTGCCAGATGGTAGTCGCTACTGATTGCTGCGTTTGTTACGGGGGAGATGCTTCGCCCGATTACGTTGTTGACGAAGCCGACGGGCATTGTTTCAGGACAGACGTAGATAATAAGTCTTTGTCCATTCACTCGGGTAGAGTTTCACTGAGTGGTTTCAAATCCGGCTTGGACCTGTTCGGTTCGTAGGAATAATTCCAACGAAACGCTGGTTAAACTCTTTAACCAAATATTTGTTAGCTTGATATGTTCATACTTCATAGTTTAACTGCGCTAATCCTTTTTCGCTCCGATTTTGTTTCACTATGAATTGCCTTTCTATCATGATTAGCTGATACGGTTAAATGCATTGTGTAATTACAAGGCTTATCAAACTTCATCTCAACCCATGACAAACAAGTAAAAGTTTGTGAAAGTCCCTGCCGCCCCACCCAGATGTCCCATTATGCGTGCTGTCGGCTGGCCCTGGCTCGTGCCTGGGGACAGTGGGCTGGGGTCGCGGGTCACTGGTTTCACGGCGCTGTTTTCCGGCCTGGTTACCACCGCATCCGCCGTCCAAACGTGTTTCTCGGCTGCTAAGCCGGGAAGGAGTGCAAAGAGCCTGTTCTTGCTCTGGCTCTGAGGCCATTGTTCCAGCTGACCTTGCTTTTTTGAGGTAAGAATTGAGCTCCTTGTTGACAGTCGGAGTTGCATAATGTTTCCGTTGATCCTTGGGTATTTTGAGCGCTTAGCGTTCTTTGTTTCGGGTGTAATGATTTTTTTTTCTGGGGTACGAGTGTTTGATGTTGCGTTTCTTCTGATCCTTTGAGCCAGTAACCTGATATTTATTTCGTAGTTTCCATCCGTCTGTTACTTGGATCTTGTACCGCGGGTATGTTGGCTTTAAACCCCCACTCACACAAAAACTGTTGATCTTGCGCTCGTGAAAAAGTGTGCTCCACTAGGTTGTCGCTGTCAGCCAACAACCACCTGCTGCGCCAACAGCCGCCTGCCCCGGTGTGCGGTCTTGTACTTGTTTGCGGTTCTGCAGACGTTTTAACAGTCATTTCTCACTTTGATTCTCTGCACAGGTGTCTTTGTGTCCACAATACGTGGCTTACTTTGTGTTTTCTCCCTGAGGTATTTGGGCCCATACTCGTTGGTTTGTGTTTGACTAAATTTGTGTTCGCACACCAGTCGTGCCTGCATTAATGTTTGTACACAATTCAACAGTACAGGTACTCACTTCTGCAGCCACCGCGGCGCTCCACGCATATTGTTGCTCATAAAGATTGTTTTTCCACTTTCCAGCTAGTTGCGCCACTACTGTTGCCGGCAATACAGCCCCTATCTCCTTATCAGACGCCCATTTGTCTAAGACCCGTTCACCGTTTGTTTTCAGGTATTTGTGCTGCTGCTGTCGCTGCTGGTGACGCTCCAGCAGGCTCTCAGCTCCGGCTACCTCAACTCAGTCATCACCACCATAGAGAAGCGGTACGAGATCCCCAGCTCGCTTACCGGCGTCATCGCCTCATTCTACGAGATCGGCAACATGCTCACCGTCATCTTCGTCAGCTACCTCGGCTCGCGGCGACACGTACCCGTGTGGATCGGCAGAGGTTAGTGACCGACGCCGGTTAGACACGTCTTGACAGTGAGCAGAAACCTATGATAGTTAAGACACAGGAGTGAGGGGCGTCCCCTTGCCTCCCACCCCTTAACCGCAGCTGTGGCGTCGTGGTGTCAAGGCTTCAGAACGGGCCGAGGTATGCCAAGCCCGCGGCCCGGCGCTCGGGGCCTGCCAACGTTTGGAGACGGAATTAGTGTCTGCCCACTGTTTTTATTGACTCAGAGCTATGTGAGAGATTCGGTTTGGAATTAGCGGACTCGCTCGCCAGCGATTCCTCGTCTCGCTTGGTTTCGGTTGCGGAGGTCAAGGAAGTCATCTGGTCGGCTGACTGAAAATATCATAGATTAGGACCTGTCAGTACCACTCGTTTTTCCGTCCAACCCATTACTCTACATCTGATATTGTGTGGGTATTTTCTGGTATTTTCCAGACGACCGACAGGCCTCTGTTAGACATCGGATGTCTAATTTCAGCTCTGTTTACGAACTCCGTGCAGTAACACGTGCTGTGCTGATGGTTGGCTGCTCCAACGTCGTCATATCGCCAGTCCCAGCTCGGGGAACGGCGGGTTCGCGGCCGGGGCAGTGGCCGGGGGCGTGTCGGGGTGATTGGCCGGGCTGTTCCCATCGGCGGCAGATGCTGTGATTAGCGCGATACGGGCGCTGACGCCGTGCTGGGTCAGCAGGCTCAACAGATTTCAGGCCCACTTGTCACGCGTCTTTCGCCGATCGAGCGCGCTCATTTCATAGCCGGAAAGATGGATCTGCGATGGCGGCATCGTTTCTGGAATTGAGTGTGTTCGAGTGTTCTGAAATTAGCCGATGTCTTTATCGGCCGGCCGTGAAAGTGTGCTGGCAGAATATTTTTATCTTCTGGTTATGCTTTTGATATTTTACTGCCTATTTGTCTTCAGTTCCCTGCTCCCGACATATTGTTTCGCAACTGCAACAATTGCCGTTTTAGCCGCTTTGTCAAAAGGCATTTGAGAATGGGTTGTCTGTTAATCATCCTCGCCATTATTTGGACCGGCCTGTCTCGAGTTCCACCCCGCTGATGATATCGCTCAAATTTATCTACACGCGCCGGGTTGTCGCCGGGGCATCTGGCCTACATTCGCGCTGCGGCGGCCGGCCCAGTTCCGGTTATCGACCCTCTGTTACCGCCGCAGTCTTATGCCGGGACGGCCAGCATATATGGACTGAGGAGGCAGTGATCTGGGAACACTGCCTTGGGACGACCGTCATAGATGGACTGAGGAGGCGATGAACTGAGAGCACTGCCTTGGGACGACCTCTGGTCCGCGTGTTGGATAGATATTCCTTCCATTAGAGAACCCGGCCGCGGGCGTCATCCGCCACGCGTGCCCGTGCGGTGCCTGGTTCCTGGTTATGCTCAGAGGCTGTTATATGCCTTTTCTTTTTACTCCCCGATATGGGCTAAGTACGCGACATTGTGGTGCTTTGTGGTCAACGGCACACGGACGGTATTCCTGGCACCTGTGACGTGATGCCTCCAGCCCGTTTTGGTGCCCTTTTTCGGCATTGTATGGTGCTTGGTGTCATAGCAAGTCTCCTGTTCGGGCTGCTGTGTCCTGGGTGCACTGTGAGGCTGTCCGAGTCGGGCACCGTGCGTCTGGGAGTAGTGCGTCGCTCCTGGGTCCAATCTTACCAAATGCCGTGAATGCGCATTCACGGCATTTGGTAACATTCAGAACTATTCCACATTCACTTATTCATTCGTTCAGGTAACATTTATAATCATTCACACTAACAAAATCATTAGACTAGATTAGCTGGATGTAAATAAAAAGGATGTCTTTGATATCGGTGCCGTAAAGTCCGCCCAGTGCTGCCAAATCCTATTTACACTGGTTTCTGTTCAGGGTCGTCCGTCACTCGCAGACTGACGGCCGACAGAACGACGTAGTTCGGGGGGCTGATCGTGGAGGCGGGCAGGGAACGGCACTTTGTTACAAATACTGACACATGGGTGGGGACTGTAATGAAACCGTCACTGGAAACGACACCAGCGCTGCTGACACCGTCACTTCCATCGATGCTGACATGGACACTGAACTAGACTCGACGTCGCAACTAGCGGGAACCTGAGTTCACATTAGTAATGCAATACTGATGCCTGTTATGACACAGATCCTTATAATGGCACAGGAACTGAGTGACACCGACACTCTGTCCTGACACTGACACGTGTCCTGACTTCGATACTGAGCTCTGGCGCCCATATTGACCTGTGTGAGCCGACAATATCTTGCACCGGCCTGTGCTCCCACGCTGGAACCGCGGGCGTGACCTCTGGTATACGGACTGTTGGCTTGCGGACCAGCGGTTAGCTATGCACACTAACGGCCCACACACTAACAACACTGGCTGTGTTTGTCGACGATAGTGACACCTGCTGCGATCTATAAACCGCATGGGGTCTAGCACGGGGTTAGTCCCGCGCTAGATGGGGCATAGCCGCTGAAGCTTGGGTATGAAATTATGCAGTTCAGTGTCGCTCAATTTGTGTTTAGGCTGGAGGTCTGAGGGCACGATTAAAAAACTTCATCACTGAGGCGTACGCGATGTCCCGTGTTCCAGCCGGCACGTGCAGGCCACGTGCGGACGGCACGTGTTGGACGGGTCACGTTGCCATTGCACGTCACCGACATTTGCCCAACATCATTAATAGAGCGAGCGAATCTGCGGCTGTGTGCTGATGACATGTGTGACAGCCCTGTTGACGTGTGCGACTGCCCTGGGCGGGGATAAGGAGAGCCGACTCGGCCAGTATGAGCGTTTAGCTATCGAAGCCTTGTTCTGTTCCCCGGGCTCCAGCCCTAGCCAGCTGCGTTAGTTTTCCAGCCTCGACCGGTGGCCACGGCTTGCGGCAGGCTCGCCCGTGACGCGCTCGATCGTGATTAATTGAACGCCTCGTGAATTATCGATGGTACTGTGAGCGCTCCAGCCGCGTACGAGACCTCCGGGCCGTGTCGGAAGACAGACTTCCCGGCTAAAGGATGGCCGCGCGGTGGATAGTGGAAATTCACTAGCGGTCCCTGAACGGCAGGGATTTGTATTGCCTGGCAGCAGTGGACTGATTTCCAGTAGCTACCTTCCATGTTTTATCTGGACTATTGTAGGTCACAGGTAGTTGGATAAAGTGCTTTGAAGTGTGGAGACTTTGGAATGACAAGTTTGTTTCCAAAAGCGCTTTTCATGCCAAATGCTCTTTTGCTTAAGTATTGAGGTTTGATGAAGTCTTGTTTATTTCCCTCCGTTGCTACATATTTGATTTGCTCTGTGTTTGACATGCACGCAGTTTTTATCAACATCACGCTCCCCTATGTTATGCTTAAGTGCACTCTCAAACTAAGCCTTTTGCAGGACTAACTTTTGCAAACTAGTTTTCCTTAGCAGTGCAGTTTTGGTGCAATCATCACTGACCCGGATCTGCAGCCATACCTGCCGCTCCAACCATGTGTCGTCGCTTCTGTGCCAGCCGTCTCCCCGTCACAGCCTGGTTTTCTGACTGACCTGCGTCCCTCTTTCCACAGGCATCATCGTGATGGGTCTGGGCAGCCTGCTGTTCTCCGTGCCGCACTTCCTGACGGACAGCTACAGCCTCAGTGTGGACTCCAACTCGAGCTCTGTGGCGGATAACGTGTGCCGGCCGGCCGTGCGCCGTGACCAATATCGCCAGTTCGAGCAGATCACTGGCATCGAAAGCATCGGTAAACTGGCAGAGGGACTCCACGGTAGGTCAGCCGCGCCGGCCGCCGGCCGTCGCATGCGCTGCATGCGAGGGCGCCCGCTCAAAGCGGGAGGTCAGCTAAATGTGGTGGCAGACAGCTAAGCATGGAGACTAACGCATCTAACCTGTAGTAGCGCGACTTGGCGATTGTTGTTACGCAGGTTACCTGTAAGAATGTTTCATGGTGTATTAATTAGTGATGCACTTCAGCTGCCGGTCCCCGTCCGCCGCTGCCGCAACAGCTGATCGCTGACTGCTGATTGGCTGACCTCCGACGGGTCAGCTTGATCACGTGACCGTGGCCAGACGGCCAATCAGCGCGCAGCGTCGGCGGACGGGGACGGCAGCAGGAGGTGCTGAAGGATTTGTGGTAGGCTGGCGGCCTGCGCGGTGACTGACCGGAGCGCGACACGATGCAGTCACTGCACGGCACGGGATCTCACTCGAAGGGTTTTGCGTTGTATTCTATTCGGCATTTCATAGAAGAAGCCAAATGATGGTTTTCCAAATGCAAATTTTATTGCTAGCTGACATCAAGTGTGCTAAAGTCATACGTATCCGAAGGTTGGGACTTTTCAATTAGACAATCACTATTCTTTAGAATTGTGATTTTCTATTGAATACTCGCGGTTGCACAATGGAAAGGAACAGTCACATGCCACTTGCCAGCGTGAAATTCGGCAACCTTGTGTTTAACCGTAAAGTGTTTAAGGCGATAGACGACCTTTGCACGCTATGTTTCATGAACAACGCACGAACAGCATGCCTGCTCGGTGGTGTTTTATAATATGCATAACCTGAAGTGTAGATTTGCATGCCTAGCCACGGACAAATGTCAGTGACTGCTGCGTTATTCACTGCATACCGACAATGTGTGTGTGTGTTGCATGACCTGGCTGCATCATTATTTAAAACCGTCAGCTGTGATGATTTTTTGTGAGCTTCTATGTAGCTCGTCCCCCCCCCCCCTCCAAACACACACACATAACGTATCGCCATAGCACCGTCAGTACTCAGTATCGTATCACCGTGCCATATCCTCGATCCTGTGTCCAGCGTCTAGCTGTCCCTGCCTGCCGTCGCTGGTCTATATTGGACCGATATTCAGCGTCGTGTCCGCCCACCGGCTGCTGCCCAGCCGGTCGGTCAGTCGGACCAATGCGATTGTATGTGTCGATCGATCCTGTGCCCGTAATTGGGTAGCGCCATAGGTGCCGGGACGGCCGCCGGGCGAAGCGTCTGTCCCCCTCCCCCGCACTCTCCATCCCTCCAGGGGCCGTCCCCCAGGGAAAATGCGCAGAAATAGTCAGGCACTGCGTAGTGCGTGTAAATGATAAATTTATGCGGTGATTTTGCTTTACATGACTATATATTGCCCCATGAGCCAGCAACTGTGGTCAGTGCTGTTTTCCTTGCTGTGTTTGTGCAGCCGCACAAATCGACATATTCCTTCCCTGATATAATGTTACCTCCTGCGACCCTCGTGACCCTGCCTCTGGTCGGTCACCGGGTCCGCTCCTACGCCGGCCTGTCTCCGTATATGCTGACAGAGACTGGCGTCTCGAGTTCGTCTCTGTTTAGGTCCACCCCGACCCAGACAGACGCGGGTGGGGCTTCGCGCTGGCTGAACCCTGCCCTGCCGCACAGGAGTCATTCGTTCCCTAAAATGGTTGGCTGAAACTGCTGGCTGCCTCACGGGACGGACACACGACAAGGCCTATAGTTATGACGACAGCAGGCGCGACGCTTTACCCAAGTGTGATGGTGGCGGCACCGACTGGTACTGGGTGGACTTTTTTAGCTGATAGCTGGAGTATACGTGGCTGCATGTTGTGCATGCTCGTGCCAAGCACGACTGAAATGTTTATATCGTCAGTAAACGCAGTGAATACGCAAAAGGTGCATTTGTGATGCCTTATCAAGAAATAGCTTAAAACTTGTGAGTTAGGATATCGTAGGGATTTTGCTGCACTTTTGATTATAAGTAATTTTTTGTTAGATTTTTGCGGTATCGGTGAATTATGTGTGAGATTTGCGATAACCTGCTTCTTTGTTCGGCAGTGACTTATCGCTTGATGCTGTGACTGCTGTTGAATGGTTGGGTTCTGAAAATCATGTCAGGCATGTGTCGTCTCTAAGTTTAATGCCATCCTGATCGACTTAGCTTTGACATTTGCCCAAGGGGCTAAGCTGATTTGTCAATTTTCCAGAGTTATATGTCTCACTAGTAAAGTCTGTGGAAAATGTCAGCCCGATGTCCATCATCCGACATTGTCCACATTTCTCATCCCTGACCCTGTATTATATAATCATAGCTACTTCCATGTTTAACGGCGTCTCTCTTCCGTCTCAGAAATATTTATCTCAGGCGCCATCGTGTGACCTCGACAGCCGTCTGTCCGTCCGTCTGTCTGTCTGTCCCTCAGCTGTCCTTCAGTCCATATGTCTGCCCAGTATCCTGTGTCCCTTCTGGCGTAATAGACTAACGTTTGGCGTGAATTTTGCCTCTACCGCCGGGCGTCACGCTTCCTGCCACAGGTCCGATAAGCCACTCGGCTCTCCCACTGTCCCCTGGGACGTCGATGCGACGCTGTCTCCGTCTCATGACCCATCATCCCTCTGCGACCGGTCGTGATGGACCCTCGGCTCGGCTCTATCTGCGAGTTATTCTCACTAACTCGGCGCCGGCCTGGTTTTGTTCCCGGTAAACCCACGTCACTGCCCACCTTTCTCTTAAACTGACGTCAGTGCCTGATTCGTGATGGACCATCTCGAGAGATGAAGTTTGCGCAGTTGCTGTCTTAACTTGAAATGTCAGATGGCGTCAGGTAATTGGTCTTATCCCTTTCAAATTATCCTCCTAATGGTTTTATGCCGACTGGGTTCAGCCTCTGGGCATAGCTGGACGCTAAGGTAAAAAAAAAGTCGTACGGCTCAGCTATGGGCTGTTCTGTTATCAGCCTCTCCCCTCGTGGAAGTGTCTTCCTTTGCCTGAGTGAAGCAGCCACACATTCTCCCACCGTTCCATTTGCTGTTGTACAGTACACCTGACAGTACACATACGCTCCCACTTTTCGTCCTCACGGATCCATTAGCTGTGGCCGGTGTCGTTTTCCTAGCCTGTTGGCGCGGGCCGGACGTACTATGTCCCAGCATCTACCTGCTGGTCTCTACCCATCTCCGCCTCGTCACCGGATAGCTTCTGTCCTATATTCTGTCCTCCTGTTCCCACCGGCTGCACGGCCCTCGACCTCACGAAATCGCGCGCCCCATAACACGAAATCATCATCATCGAACTCACGAATCGAGAGACATGAATGTGATTGTGTATCTATTCGTTTCTTATCTGTCTGCCGTGAGACTGAAAATGGCATTTTTGTTGTCTCCGCCGTTCTGACCCATGCTCTCTACTCTGCCTTTCTGCAGACCTGTCTCGGGACCTGGCGTCTCCTCCACTCTCTCCGCACAACAACCTGCACGGCCGGCGCGACAACTGCATTGACGGCACCATCAGCAACCTGCTGCCGGTGCTGATCTTCATGCTGGCTCAGCTGCTGCTGGGCTCGGGCGGATCGCCGCTCTTCACACTGGGCACTACCTACATTGACGACCACGTACCCCGGGAGAGCTCCTCGTTCTATATCGGTCAGTGGAGGCAGATGAGAGAGATGGAGAGAGAGAGAGAGGGGGGAGGTAGGGAGGGGAGAGATGACGGGTTGATGAGTGGTGAGAGGATGGGATTGATAGAGATGAGGAGAGCTAGGTGTGAATTGCTAGCTTTGACTGGAATGTTGAAATCCGGTGGGGTAATTGCGCTCGAGTCAATGATGGATTTGATTGTCCCAGTGGGTATTTGGTGTGGCCGCAGTGATTGCAGTGCGGGATTTGATTCAGCTGGAGTCCCAGGAGATTCGCTGTATGGCTCGTGCCAATGCGGCAGTTGTGTTGTGACAATCGATGAAGCTGGTGCTGAATTGGTATTTCGACACCGTATTGCGATGACTTTACGAGTATTGGACGGGAGGATATTGCTGTTTCCTGTAACCTCTGCCTCAGATTAATGAATTGATCCCTAGCACTCAGCCCAGACAATATTGTTCCCCACTCTCATGGTGATGCTTACGACGCCATATCATGCTTGAGTATATGACTTTCGCGATAAAGCTGGGAAAATATTTCTAGAACCAGCAGGTCATTGGCTATCTTCATGTGTCAAATACTGATGTATGAATCGTCTAGTCAAACTTTCGCATCATTGCGAACAAAATGCTCGCCGTGTGTCGCCCTCCTTACAGCTGCACTCCACCCCACAGGCTGCATGTACAGTATGGTGGCGTTCGGGCCGGTGCTGGGCTTCCTACTGGGAGCCTACATGCTCTCTCACCACGTGGACGCCTTCTCTGGCATCCCGCTGCCTGATGATGCCGGTAAGACTTCAATTTTTCTCTAGATTTCCACCAAACTCACTTTCTTTTAACCCTATTAGTGGCAGGGGGGGGGTTGTTTTTATCCACCCCTCAGGTTTTTCGGGAATATCTCCGAAACCGCTGAAGCTACGATGCTGAAATTTTCTGACTTTTCCTAAAACTAAATTAAAACTAAAAACTTTTCCTAAAACTAAATTGGATATTCCCTGAAAATTTCAAGTTCATAACTTTACCAGGGGCGGCTCCAGAGCACTGGGAATTGGGGGTCCTATTCGTGAAGCGAGTCATTTGGGCGAAGATCACGATGCTGCACCAGTTTTACGCAAAGTGAATGAAAGGTATCATGTGATAACATATACAAAGTTATTGTGCATCCTCTTTTGACACGTTTTTGCTATAATAGGCGGATCCAGGCGTCCAAAAAGGGGGGTTATTTTTTACCTCCCAACATAGGTGCCCTGACACCGCCTATGCATGACCAATACAATTTTAGTCGTTCTCTCATAAGAAAATTGTAACATAACAAGACCATTGCCACCCTTTTTAGAAACAGTACCAACAAAAACCTTATTTACTATACTTTTTGTGTACCCCCAATCTCAGTGATCTGTATCCGCCTATGATTTTTGAAAATGCATATTTTTAGGATCCATGTGAATTCCTGGTTCATTCTCTATCGATCGGCAAAAGTTGCGTTAAGATTGGTTCAGAAACCTGGCCGTGATAAACAGTCTAAAATGTATCTGCAATTTGCCCGTTTTTACCCCCCTCTACCCCCCTATTGACATTTTTTTTTTGAAATGTAGATCTCGTTGAGCCAAATCGAATGCCGTTTGAATTTTGAAAATCGGCCGGTTAGATCTCGAGATATCAAGGGGGGGTCGTAAACAGCCCCCCCCCCCCCCCCCTGCCACTAATATGGGGTAGCCAGGAGCCTGCCACTAATAGGGTTAACCTCACGCCGGGACGTGGCGGGATCACTGAGTGCATTCAGAATACCGCTAGGTGCACACCATATGATGATAGTTTGTTGTCTATGAAAGCGTGCTATGATTTGGAGAGATGATGCGAAAATACCGTCTGTCACTGGTGAGGGTTAGTGCCAGTGCTCTTATGTAACTTATTACGGACGGCGGCTATTTCGGCCGTGTCGACTGCCGGTGCCAGCCGTTTGTTGTAGCGCAGTCGCCGGCGTCTCGACTGTGATGGGTGACCGGTTGGCGGTGACAGACGGTGATTTGTGGGCCACGTCGCCGGGTTTTGGCATAAGCCTGGGTCTGTCATATGCCATGGTTTTGTCCTATACGACAAGGTTAAATGGCGACAGGCGGGACGATTTTTTTTCTGTTTTGATTTATGGGTCACAATTTATTGCTTATTTGTTTCAGTAACGGTTATATAAACTGGTTGTTTAATAGATGACTTCCTTTCCGTTGACGTACTAACAAAGGCGGATGGTTGTTAAATTATGACCCAAGAGTTATACGTTGATGGGGGTGTCGTGGGCTTCCTGGTTATTCTAACGATAGAAGTTTGATGTTTAGGGGTCTTTCACTTGACTTTTGCTACTCTCCAAGTTAACAGGAAGGGCATTGCACCGTTGCATTAATTTCAGCCCGGATATCACATGGCTGCTCTGCAAGTTTGCAACTTTGCGCTTAAAGGCCGTGTCGACATATCCGTCCTGGCTACCTACGCAATGACTGTCCGCTGGTGGAGCTGGGATCCAGGGATCAGGATTTCCTGTCCCCACTCAACACTGTCCATTGAAGTGCCCGCTCACCCTCTGGGGTTCTTTGAAGCTTCCTATCCAGTCAGGCCTTTGAAGGAGGCTGAATTGTGACGTATTCAATTTTGCTCTGGCTGTTACGTAGGATTAGTTTGGCAATATTTTGCCGACATTCGGCGCATTTTAGCATGCGGCTTAGGTATTTGTCCTGCTTTCATGTTTGCTGACTTTATTTGCAATGTTTATAAATATAGTTCATAACCTGAAACGAGTCAGCATGCTGCTGAAATTGATGACCTGACCTGACCTGACCCGACCTCTTCGGCAGATACGTCGGACCCGCGCTGGGTGGGCATGTGGTGGGGCGGCTTCCTCATCTGTGGCATTGGCATGTTCGTGCTCGGAGCGCCCTTTTTCCTCTTCCCCAAGAGCCTGGAGGTGAGTATCAATGCGTAGCTCTATGTAGTTAATGTCCTACATGATTTTTGACCTGCGATTTGCGATGTTAACGCAATTTCTTGCGATTAGAGCTCGGGCTAGTACATATAAGATGGCTAGGTGAATTAGTTGCGCTGATTGTGATTTCTGCTTTCGCAATCATTGTACTCCCTATCGTCTTACCAATCTAGGCGACCAGCATAATAAGTTTCATTTGCCATTGACAAACCTCTTGCGTATAGTTTCCGGTTACAGGCAGGGGAAGCCAGCAGTCATTAGGGAGAGGCTACCTGACGCCGCCACACACCCAGAATAACTCCTTGCACAATCAATTAACGAGAGCGGCACCGATACTTGACCTGTGTTCAGCCAAGCCTACCTCCCTCCGTACCCCGCTGACCTGGAGTGTTACCTGACGTCTCCATTGTGAGGATACAGCTCCCGCTCCCCCGGATGTCATCTAAGTCACCTGACCGGGTGTCGCTCGTTCCAGTGTAAGGACTTCCCGTTCTTACCCCACGTGTCTTGGCTGTCACCTGACCGATTGCTCCTCGTTTCAGTGTGAGAAGCAGCGCGTCCGGGAGGAAGAAAAAGCCAAGGAGGCCAAGCGGCAGCACCGGGCTGCGTCACGCGGCTCCGAGGAGCATTTCCACCACTTCCGGCAACGCCACGTGTCCGAGCACGAGCCGCACGGCGGACACGTGCACGGACACGCGGCACGTGGCCACCGGCGCACGGCCAGCAGTAATGTGGTGATCGACCACAGCGCCAGCAAACAGGCGCACTTCAAACCGGGTCATCGGTGAGTGGACGGAAGGGGTGAACAGAGGGAGAGGACGGGAGGAAGGACAGAGCGGGGGTGAACCGAGGGAGAGGACGGGAGGAAGGACAGAGCGGGGGTGAACCGAGGGAGAGGACGGGAGGAAGGACAGCGGGGAGGCGCCCCATCTGCAGCTGTCGCAGAGGTGACCCGGTGGGCGGATTTATGAGCCGGAGGGCGCCGCAGATCTAGTCTGTTTGTGGATCTTCGTCGGAGAAACTTTGGCGTTGGATGCGGTCGGCTGTCGGCACCAGGTCGGCGCTGTGCGGACTGTTAGTTTGGCGGGCCGCCGCTCGGCACCAAACATTTACGTCGGCTCAGGAAATGACTGTGGTCGGTGATCGGTACGGAGGAGGCTATAGTAGGCGCCTGCTGGCTGCTAAGCGAGCGGTGTGGTGACTGATCTTTTTTATTTCTTCTCTTTTCTATCTTCGTCTCTCTCTCTCTCTCTCTCTCTCTCTCTCTCTCTCTCTCTCTCTCTCTCTCTCTCTCTCTCTCTCTCTCTCTCTCTCTCTCTCTCTCTCTCTCTCTCTCTCTCTCTCTCTCTCTCTCTCTCTGTCTCTGTCTCTGTCTCTGTCTCTGTCTCTGTCTCTGTCTCTGTCTCTGTCTCTGTCTCTGTCTCTGTCTCTGTCTCTGTCTCTGTCTCTGTCTCTGTCTCTGTCTCTGTCTCTGTCTCTGTCTCTGTCTCTGTCTCTGTCTCTGTCTCTGTCTCTGTCTCTGTCTCTGTCTCTGTCTCTGTCTCTGTCTCTGTCTCTGTCTCTGTCTCTGTCTCTGTCTCTGTCTCTGTCTCTGTCTCTCTCTCTCTCTCTCTCTCTCTCTCTCTCTCTCTCTCTCTCTCTCTCTCTCTCTCTCTCTCTCTCTCTCTCTCTCTCGCCGTCCCTCCCATCACCTCCCATACCACATCCCTTCCCTCCCCATTTCGCCATTTCTCGTCCCTCCCTCCATGCCACCGTTGACCTGAATGTGACCGTACTAACTTGCCCCTCCCCCTTCACAGGCGGACTCTGTCCAACCCCACGGAGCACGAATACCGCAGTCGACTGCGGCACATGGAGCTGGCCGCCCAGCAGAAGGCGGCACAGGCCGAGCCGGCCAAGAACGTCTACACGGTGTCCCAGACGGCGCTGTCCAAAAGTACGTTTACTGGACGGAGTAGTTTTAGGCAGGATGGCTGGTTAAACTCGATAGTGAAACTCCAGGTTTTGTGTTCTGACGAGTTTGGGTCTGTTAGAATGAATCATGGACCGTGCCGAATCGAATAGCTCTGACTCAGGGAGTTTTGAGTCACCGTCTGATTTCGAATGACTGCGGCTCTGGGTGTGTCTGTAAAGCCAAACATTAACCCGCGCCCTGCTGGGGGGGGGGTGTTTGAACACCCCCCCTTGTGGTTTTTTGCGAATATCTCAAAAACGGCTGCGCGGAGCGCCGCCGTTTTTGGTACACCTTATCATACATCAATTCTACACATGTTGTGAAAATTTCAGACCAAGGTCATTCAAGGTCAGGTCACCAGGTCACTTGAAGTGACCTCACCTCATAAAAAGTTTCAATGTCTGTCATAGCTACACCGAGTGACCGATCGCTTTGAAACTTTCAGCGATTGCTAAGAGCAATAGCATGTACAAAATGTATATCTCAGAATTTTGATATCTATGACCTAAGGTCAGGTCAATTTTGCGACCTCCCCATTATAAGTCAATGGGAGAAAATTGAAATGCGCCTCTTTTGGACGGAAGACATTATAAACACTCCCAAACACCGAATTACAAGTGGTTTAGACACACTTAACATGAAAATGGTGTCCGTGACCCTTGTTTATGCCCTGAGGTCATCTTAGGTCACGAATGGTATCTAACAGTTTTTCGCAAATAACTTTTGATAGAGGCATGCTAGAGCGATGAAAACGCCTTAGATGTGTTCAGATCGACGATACGGATCGACTGATATGCAACATGACCCTTTCCGGTCAGGTCATGACCTTGACCTGAGGTCAAATTTTAAAGTTGACCTTTCAAGGTCAAGTTATAGTTCATTCGATGCGTCTTAACGAGAGGAACACGATGCCGGTAAAAGTAAGCTCGTACAGGGCTTGGGTCAAAAGTTATTGCAGAAAAACTGTTTCCGAAAAAATCGGCTATTTTTGCAGTTTTTGCCCCCTGCATGCAAAACCGTTGACGTTAGGTCAAATCTGAGAGAATTACTCAGAAAGGGCGTTAATAGGGCTATCGAATGCGCTTTTCCGCGGCGCTGTAGCTCTATTGGTTCCCGAGTTATGCGTTGGCTTCTTGGAAATTTTCGACATTCGACCTGGAAATCGGCGAAATTTGGCCTTCAATGACCTCTGGTGACCTGACCTTTGACCTGACCAAAAAATTGACCGAAGTGATTTCGTCATTATTTTTGACGCTCTTTCGAACGCCGCCTTCCGCGTATCGCTACGTGGCCCAGGAGCCGAGTTACAAGGGGGGGTGTTCAAACACCCCCCCCAGCAGGGCGTGGAAATCCAGGACCCCCAGCCGGGCGCGGGTTAACACAACAACCTCATTAAGCTTCACAAATGAGTCATTGTCGGGTCTTCTATCGACCCGGTGGCCACACCCTGGTTGGCGCCTGCTGAAAACTCACCCTGAGCTGGTCCATCGTTTCGTTTGCAGGCATTTCCTCACGCCGCTCTTATAACCAGTCTCTGAATTTGTATCTGGATTCTAATTTTGATGCTGCTGATATTTAGGCGTTAATATCTTTCCTTAAGCATTTTGATGATCATTGAGCAAATATTCCGATCTCATATGCACCACCTCTCTGACGCCTCCTCCGCTTCCAGCCGGTCCACAGCGGGCGCTCTCTCAGAACAGTTTCCACCGCGGTCACCGGCGCACAAAGTCGAATGTGTCGCAGGTTAGCCGGGTCAGCCAGCACAGTGCGCGCTCAGCGCGCTCCAACTACGGACGGGATGTCAAAGGTGAGTGACGGTGACGATGGTTGTGACGGCCTCCTCTGCATGTGTGGATGAGTGTAATGGATGTGCACTGTAAAGTGTGTGGTTGGCATTTGGGCAGTGGGTGGGTGTGTGGGATGATGGGTAGGTGTCGGTTCAGTGTGTGTGAGTAAGTTCGTGTGGGTATGTTCGTACGGAGTGTACGGCTGTGTATAGCTGCGTATGCGTGTGCTTGTGCAGCTTTGGGTGTGGGTGGATGAGTGAATACCGTTTGAGTGTGTGCGAGTAGGCTTCTTTGTTTGGAGTTTGTTTGTTGGACTTGTGTCGAGCGAAGGGCCGCGTCGCCGGCTGAGTCGTAACCCGGTGAGACGGGAGCCCTCAGACTATGATGACCGCGACGCCGACGCCCTCACGCCTGTGATCAGTAAAAGCTGGTGATTCGGCCGGATGGGACATAAAAGGGGCTCCGGTCGGCCGGCAGCGGCCCAGGTGGGATTGATAGCGTGCAGGGTTAGTGTCGAGCGGGGCCGGCCGCCTCCCGCCGGGGCTCGGCGCTGATGGGAATGTCGGGTCGAACGGCGCACAGTGATGAATTCGGTGCCGAGAATCGGTCCCTGGGAGACGCCCGCAGCGATGGCTGTCCGCCCGCGCTGCCGCGCCGTGACGAGGGGTTGGTGGTGTGTCCCGGACGGGGACGCGTGCTTAATTAGCGTTCATGATTGGATTTGAGTTGTAATTTAGAGGCATAAGAAGCTGATGCCATGTAAGTATCGGTTTATTATGCTTATGTTCTTTATGTATTCATTTTTATTGGATACTTTACTTCACGTGATTTTCAATATATCACATGACGGATGAAAGTCTCACGAGCTGTTTGTTTCTGTCGACAGACCTGCCGAAGTCGATGTGGAAGCTGGTGTGTAACCCCATCTACGTGGTCACCTGCCTGGGCGCGTGCATGGAGCTGATGATCGTCTCCGGATTCATAGTGTTCCTGCCCAAATACCTGGAGACCCAGTTCAGCCTCAGCAAGAGTCAGGCCTCTGTCTTCGCAGGTCAGTGTTGGGAAAGGGCTTTGTTATCAGTTACGGGGTGTGAGGAGAGGTGAGGGGAAGGTGTAGGTGTGGCGATGCGTGTAAAAGGGATGTGGGATCAAGTTTCCAGTTAACTCTGCGGTAGCGCTCTGCAGGACAACTGCTGAGCTGGTATTCTGGCTGGGAGTGTGACTGGGTTTTATAGCTGAACTCGCTGAACAAATTACAGTCTAGGGCGTGGTGTGGTTTCGTAAGTGACTTTTATGTCTAGCTAAGCGAACTTTTTTTCGCCGAGGCCTGGGCGGTGTTATCAAGACGTTATTGGGGCGTTCTCTGATATGAAATGATCAGCAAAGCTGCAAACGGACTGCTGTTTTGATGCTCTACGAACAAATCTAGAACATTGACAGGCACATGACAAGGCAATTACAATGACCGCTGCACACAGTGCATCAAAAGCGGAACAGATTCCGCTCAGTCGACCAAACTTTCACCAGCCGTGGGCGCTGTGATATTTTTCCACCTCGCTGCAACGCTCCTTTCTCAATGTGACAATAGCCAGATGTTGCACAACTTTGTAGTCTGCTAAAGTAAAAAAAAATATACTGGGCTGAATGTCAATCTGATCAGCTGCAGTCGTTGCAGTGGCTATCAGCAGAAAGTGTTAGTTTCACCCGCAGTTGGCGTTCCTCTGAATGCTTTTGATGGTTTGGCTCCGACTGAATTCTTCCGCACCAACCATAAATCATATATGGGTACCTATTGGGTTGTAACCTGTTCATTGACTCTTCATTTAAACTTCGTTGTCACAGAACCGTCTTATTGCATACAAAACACGTATATTCTACACAGACCTTTCAAGACTTATTTCGGCCATGATTAATTCGCTCCTAGCCGTAATATATGGAGGCAAACTAGAATTCCTTCTCAGTCATGCCTGCCGTAAATGCTGGCTAGATTGCCTATTTATCAAGTCGGCTTTGGTGTTGATCCATATGTTAGCTTATGGAAGCATTAGTGTCAAAACGAGCCCGCAGCCCAGCTTGCTAACAAAACGATCTTGACCCTGATATCTCTTTGAGCCAGCCGTGACTTCAGAGCGAAGACTCGGTGGCTCCCACTTACGGATGCAAATGCGGTTTGGGGTCAAAGTGTCAACGCACCCCATTCTCTGGCGAGCTCTGTTTTGTATTCAGACCGAGTTGGTTTGATCTCTGTCCGCCTGACTGTTGTTATGTGACTTGTTTCCCTGTGACCTCTGTCTTCTTTTGATCGTGTCAGTTTGTGTCGGATGTCTTTTCGTCTACATTCTCTACCAGTGCCCCTTTCCATTTACATTATTAGTTACATCTCTTCTTTCATTATTTCCTTCTCAGTTTTTTCTTCTAGCTCTAGCTATCTTGTTCGATACACTTCTCCCCATTTCTTTTTCCAATTTCTTTTTCTCCATCTTTCCATCTCTATATTCTGTCCTCCTTTTCATCTTCTTTGCCACTTTTCACTTTCCCTGATTACTTCTTCCCGTTTCTCAGCCATGCCCACCTGACCTTTTTTCGACCCATCTGACGTTTGTTCTCTTCTCGCCAGGCGGTATCGCCATCCCGGGCGCCTGCATGGGCGTCTTCATGGGCGGCTACATCCTGAAGCGTCTCCAGCTGCGACCCAAGGGCGCCGTCCAGCTGATTCTCATCTTCCAGATGATCTCGCTGGCAATGTACAGCGTCCTCTTCGTCGTCGGCTGCGACAACGTCAAGATGGCGGGCGCCACAGCCCCGTACTCGCTCAGGTAGGCAGCCGCCGTCCGCTGCGCCCCCACCCGCCCCGCCGCAGTCCGCCGTGCGGGACGGAGCTAACGGCCTCTGTCGCCAATGCCATTCGTATGACACAGTCCGATATTGAATGAGTCACCGGTGACTGTGGTCAATGCCGGCCCATTCAGTCGCCGCTAGGTCCAAAGGGAGGCGGCGACACGGCTGGCATACGTATCGGGAGTAATTTACGGTATCAATGCGGTGCTGTATTTGTTTGGAGAGAGAAGTGCGGAGCTATAGATCAGCTTGGACAGGTGGTTCGATTGAGACGGTAGGCGGCGTAATGATATCCTATTGAACTTCCTAGCGATAGTCAATGCTAAGGCGGATGAAAAGAACTTCAGGAGACGATGCTTTCATGCGAAACTGACTGTTCAGGGTAGTTCACAGTCTATTCAACGCCAGTAATTTTTAGTGCTGGACTCAGCTGTTCTCAAAGCACTTGTCAATGGCGTTACTGTGTACCACACGAATTTGCTATTGCCCCAGATCTGCAGTACACAGATCTGCAGTCAGTACACAGTTACGCATGCCACGCTGTAGCGCTCATCTGACCCCTCCCCTGTCCCGACAGCTCGCGTCAAAGCCCGGAGATGTTCAGCGTCAACCTGACGGCCAGCTGTAACTTCGGCTGCGACTGTGACCGGAACGAGGTGGAACCGGTGTGCGGGACGAATGGACTGACGTACTTTTCACCGTGTCACGCCGGCTGTACGGCCTACAGCGCCGAGAGCAACTATACCAACTGCGCCTGTGAGTGCACAGCGCCGCCCGGCGGTGGGTGGTGGTACTGCGAGTGACCGGCTGTCGCCGCTAGAGGGAATGAAGAATGTGAAATGTGAATTGTGTGATAGGGAAATTGGTCATTGTACCTTTCTTACCACTTCAGTCATTTGCCCTTTTGTCGCTAGATGGTGTTTTCAACTCGCTGGATTTGTGGTGCATGTCGTCAGGTCTAACCATGTAGCTTTAGCAGTCGCATCTTAAATTTGAGTCCGTTATGGTTATTGTTATGCTGTTGGGTTTCATCTGTCTATCCATCTATAAGGTTTCACGAGTCTCAGACTATCCTAATCATTACCTGACTGATACGTCGATTATGTCTTGACATAATGTCACTAACCGTTGACCTCTACCCTTTTCTCTCGCTCAGGTATAAACGAGGCGGGCAACTCGAGCAGCCAGTACGCCGAGATCACCATGGTGCCCGTGGCCACGCCGGGCTCGTGCTCGCGCGCCTGCTCCAACGCGCTGCCGTTCATGGTGCTGCTGTTCTTCATGACGTTCGTGGTGGCCATCACCCAGATGCCGCTGCTGATGATCGTGCTAAGGTGAGACTGAGGGCGGGTGGAGGATAGATGCGATGGTAATGGTGGGATAGTGGGGTGTGGTTTGCAGGATGCGCCTTTGGGTGATGAAGTTATAGGAAGTTGATCTTCGATCACATCCAGCAGAGTTTTTCCCGGGTGTTTAGCACCCGGGCATGGCGCAAAACGGTGGTTCATATCGAATGGGCTGTTGAGTGTAAAACAAAGCTTTGGGGTTGTCTTACAGAAGTTTGTGGTGTTTTGGATTATTGATAGATGTCGCTTGCTGGTGTGCTCGAGAAGCTGAGGTGACGCTGAGGGTGGCGTTAGAAGGTTGTTCCAGAGACCAGAGTTGGTCGTGTAATTTGTTTTGGTTCGTGAGTTTGTGCGTTTACCCTTGTCTTTTATGATAGCTCAAAAGTTCCCTTCATAACTGACGTTGGTTCCCATGATTGTATCGGAGATGAGTTAGTTAAACAGTCTGCACACTCCTCACTGATTCTCATCTGACCCCGTTTTCCGTTTTTTTTTTTCCCACAGGTCGGTGGACGAGGAGGAGCGCGCGTTTGCGCTCGGCATGCAGTTTGTCATCTTCCGCCTGTTCGCCTACATCCCGTCACCGATTCTGTTCGGCAACGTCATCGACTCGACGTGCGTCCTGTGGAAGTCGCAGTGCGGCGAGCGCGCCGGGCGCTGCCTCATCTATGACATCGAGGTGTTCAGATTCAAGTGAGTTGTTCGGGGAGGCAGGGGATTTGAGGCTAACGTTTCGATTTATATTTAGTTGTATCTTCCATAGACCTATGTTTGCCGGGTTGTGCATATTGTATAGGTCTGTGGTTTTATTCGTCGATCTTATTGCAGGAACTTGGATTTGAAACACATCAGCTGCAACAATTATAACTGCAGCAGAATCTAAAATTATTCATTGAATTATTGGGAAAAGAAGTAATCATATGTTCTCTTACTGATGGAACATCTGCAAGTGCAGCTGCATCTTAGCGATCTTAGGTGCTATTCCAGTTACCACCTAAAGCTTCCCGCAGCATCCTTTGTGTCGACGTGTTAAATAGCTATTTTCATTTGTCAAACAAACTTATAAGTTATTCACCATGTGATTGCCTTCCAACGCCCGCCACCACACTAATATCAGAAAATCAATGGTTCCAGTTAGCGGACTCACAATCTCACCGAACCCTGAACACTTTTGCCTTCCTTTCTCAATGACCCACTCATGATCCCACTTACGGAGTGGCTCGTATCGGCACCTTTCTCACAACTGGCTGCACCAACTCTGACCTATCTGGAGCTGGGCTCGTTACGGCCGACCCCGGGGCGGCTCCGATATCGCTGCCGCGCCGGCCTGGCTCGCGCCTCTGCGTCCGCCAGGGGGCCTCCAATGGCGACCGTGTGTCACGGAGCGGCTCGGCGGGGAGCCGATTAGAAGCCGCTCCCAGCCAGGCTTTGTCCGCGCCAATGGCGCCGTCCAATGGCGATTAATGGCCGGGAGGTCGTGCCGCGCTGGGTCGGCGAACGGGGGTCAGGCAGAGCCGGGTGAGAGCCGGGGACTCTACGTCCTGCCGAGACTCGGCTGGCTGGGCTTGGTTTGCCGGTCTTTGTGCTGTGCTCGCCCGAGAATCGTTAATGCTAGCACCAAATTGTGCCGTGGTAAGATGCTGACATAGCCCACTGTCGTTAGCTGCTTGACGTGCGAAGTAACACATGATGTTTCGTTTTCAGGTACGTGGGCATTTGTGCCGGCCTGAAGGTGCTCTCGCTGATCATTTTCCTGCTGGACTGGTTCATGATCCGGTGGAAGTACAAGCTGGACATGAACCACACGATGACGGTGGGCGACATCGTCAACTCCATCATCAGCGTAGATCGAGGTGAGGAATTCTGACAGACAGGCTGCCCCGGTATCAGCTCCGGTTAGCCTAGCGTAGTTTGTAAGCTTCAGAAACAATGGGTGAGAAACGTTACCATAGAAGCTACCTAGTGATTCAGTGATCGTTCTTCCTTGGATGCATTTTATTTAATGTGTTTAATCGTGGTAGTCGTTGTTGAACACAGTCATTTGAACGAAATCGATTATCATAAAAAATTCTCCTCGGTACGTGGGCCTTCGGTACGGTCCTGGATCGTTATTCCTGAGATCTCCGAGCATCCATCGGCGTTCCTGTTCCGTCCCACCCATCCCTGTCCGGTTCCTGGCCTCTCGCCCCGTTCCTGGCCTCTCGCCCTGTTCCTGCCCCGCCAGCTCCGTTCTGCCATTTCACCGAGGACCGGTGGCTGGCTCGGCACCCGACGCACCGTGCCAACCGACTGATGACCCTCTGAGACCGCTGGAAACGAGAGAGGAAGGCTCGAAGGACCGCCCGTCCCGCCGCGGTCGGCGGGACCATTCTGGTCAGTAGTCCCGGTCAACAGAGCGTGTGTCCCGTGTCCGTCTCCGCAGCACTAATTTATCATGTTACGAGACACGATTCTCTTCTTTCTCCCATCCTTAGCCAAGTGGCGCTTTAAAAAGAAGTTTTATGGGCGTTACTCACTTTGGTGGAGGCATGAAAGCAAACTTTCAAAGAGCTGCTTGTTCGCGTGCTCTGTGCTTTGTAATTACCAAATCCTGAATTCCGCCCAAAGTAGGATAAAAGGAAGATCAAACAGTTTGAGCCGCTCCGTTTGTTAAAACACAATAGGGTCCACCTGGCAGCCCGCTAAAATGGACAACCATCATAGTTTCAGAAATAGCTGCCCTTGTCTAGCGAACCCTTTTAGGATTAATTTGTTATTTTAGCCGCCTAATGTCTTTTCATTGAAACCATATGCTGCCTCCGAGCTGGCAAATTCAGCCGAGGAAATGGAATTCGTTTGTCACTTCGCTGTCGTATTTTCTCCCGCTTTTCGATCCTCAGAACATTTTTGCCAGGCTGCATCAAAATCAGCTCTCGAGCAGCGAAACGAAAACAAACTGCTCAAGAAAATGCATAGTGTAACACAAGTTGTAATAGGCTTGAAAATATCCCAGCGCTGTGTTGTTTTTAACTTCTATATAAAATCTTTCGTCTTGAAAACCACCGAGCTCATTTAACTCCCACTCTAACGCATTGAGGCACATTAACTGACCATTAACCTTGGGCTGATGAGCTTAGGTTGGATATGTGGGTGGCTCAGCGCGCCACTTTTGATATAAATATCAACCATCATCATCGCCACCAGCCGTGGCATTTAGAAGCTGACATTTCGGTCACGTTTGTGCCGGCGCGGTGATGAGCCGCTGCCGTTTTCACCCTCTCTGCCCACGCCGCACCTCATCGCCTTGATCACTTCCGTCTACCCAGTCCTAGAATATCCTGGTGGATGTACTTGTCTCTTACGCCCTCTCTTATCCTCAGACTCTCCTCCCTTCCCTCCCACAGAGTACGTACTGTTGGGAGCTGGACTTCTAACTCCCCCTCCCCTTCCTCAGGTTACCGTGAAGTGGAGGTAGACGAAGCTATCGAGGAGGAGGAGCGGCTAGCCTGCGGTGACGAGCCGCTGGCTCCCCGCGGATCCATCGACTCCTGCGACTCGGCGCTGCTGGGTGACGACGAGCACACGGCCGTACATGGTGTGTGAGCGCGCCGGCCGCGGCGCCCCGCTTTTCTCTGTGATCTGACGCCGCGCACCGGGGCGCGACCGGTGACCGGCGAAGGGCGACGCCCGCCACGCGGTGGCAGCTCAACTGGGGTGTCCGGCGCGCCGTGTGTGTGGGAGGGAGGGTGTGTGCTGAGCGAGAGCGAGCGAGTGAGCCGCGCACCTCTCAGTATTGGTCCCGCGCCACACGCACACTTTACGACGGCAGGGAGCGCGCGCTGACGTGGCGTTGAGTCGCAGCTGGGCCGCGCGTGGGTTCCGCTAGCAATATGCCTTACCCATAGATTATTGTTTTATAGATGACAGAAGAGGCAAATTGTGTTGGTTATATATGCGTCGATTGGTGATGTAACGCTGTGCCGTGTGGCCAAAAATCACGTCCATGTGTGAGGTGTTCAGAGCACCACGTGCACGTGATCTGTATTGATGGAGCTGTGTTAATGTGGACGACAATGTTGGGGAGGCTGAAGGCCGACAAGTCGCCGGTCGTGGATGGCCTTTTCGGCGCGAATGGCGACGAACTGGGCGCGTCGGTGGCGATCAGTGGCGCAGAGTGTTGTTGGTGTGTCAGTGAACCGTCTTCTTTGCCGCACAGAAATCTCGCTGTTTCTCTTCCACCACACGTGTTGTCGTGCACGTGCTCACACAGTCACAGGTAATAGCCTACTTGATAGCCTTGGACGCTTGATAGCCTTGGACGCTTGATAGCCTACTGAGCTGAAGAGGTCTCCTAAAAACCCAACTCACAGTCACAGGTGTGCGCAGTCCGCCTGCCTGTCTGGCCGTCCGCACTCTCCCTTTCCAGGCGGGTCCGCGCGGCCCGCCCACGTCTGTCCGTCCGGGCTGTCTCCGCCACTCTGCCTCAGCCTCCTCACTCTGTCCGCGGGCCGCCCGCTCTCTGTCTCCTCTGTAGCTGGGGCCGTTTGTGAGGGGGGGGGGGTGACCCAGGTGTCGCAGGTCGGGGAGGGGCGTGGGTGGCCGCTGGCGCCCGTCACCCCGGCCTGCTGCCAACCTGTGGAAGACGCGTAATCAGCTGACGGCCGCCGCCCTGGAGCGAACAGCGAACGGTGCAGAGCGTGAGCCAGCCCCGGGCCGCGCCGAGCGTGAACGTTCGAAAACAGCCGGTGGATCCGAATTGTGGGCAGTCAGAACTGAGATATATAATGCCGTAGTCTTGTATTTATTTATTTTGACGGCTAGCTCCAGGACAGTATTACGTGTAGAACATAGATCACCGCGGTATGTTGATTCATGTTGTGAAATTAGTGGCCGATGTTGTGTACTGTACGCAGTTCTCTTATGTCAACCAATCAGATGCAGAGCTGGTTATATGTTATTATTTATTGTACTTAATGCGACGACATCTTAGTTTTCCACTAGCATCGATGTCATACGATATTGTGTTGAAAAATACATAGCGTGGTATAATCGCTTGTTTCCCGGCTTTTGTCGATGCCAAGATAAATGAATGTCCCGTGCTCAAACTCAGGCACTCCAAAGGCTCCCTGCAGGCTGCAACAGCCTTATAATCGATCGACTGATGCATTTCTAACGATGCTAAGCCACCCATACATGTGTGCAGAGCAGAGCGTGAGTGATGTCGCTTCACATCGAGCGAAAGATTCTACTCGTGATTATCGAGTAATGGCAGTCTATTATTTTGCAACAGCAAGATGCGAAAGTGATGACAAAAAATTGAGGCATGTAGCCCTGAATGGCCTGCAGCCTATGTACAGCTCTCGGGGGTTTAAGCGGTAGGTTGTGCCTTTTTACATTTCCGGCTATGTCTCAGAAACTAATCGTTATACGATGAAGCCATTTTAGAGGATTATGGCAGGCATGTGTACGAATAAATCGATCGCATCTTTAACCCTTAAATGCTTAACCCGCGCCTCACTGGGGTCTGCGTATAACACGCCCTACTGGGGGGGGGGGGGGGGCTATTCATAGCCCCCCCTCCTAACTCCGAAACTACTGGGCCGATCGTCAAAATTCAAACGGCGTCTGATAGCCCCGGAAAAACTGTCGAACGAAACCTAATTTCATTGACCTCGAGGTCACCGATGACGTCACAGGTCAGGTCAAAGTAAAAATTATTAGCATTTTGGCTTCTTCGCGTTTTGGGCTCTGGCCGCCGTCTTACAAGTCAGATCAGGCTCATTTTTGGTTCACATACTCGTGAACAGATGCTCTAGATACTCTGAGGGTACCAAACTTGTACTTTGATTTTCAGGTCAAGGTCAGGTCATCACAGGTCACGAAAATATTATATCATCCGTCGGTCACATGACACATGTTTTATGGTCCATTTAGGCCAAACATTTCGAATTTCATGTCGTCTGTGTCATTCGAGGTCATTTTGAGTCAAATTTAGCATAGGTCAGGTCACTTTCAGGTCAAAAAAGGTCAAATTTTGAAGTTAAAATTTTTCAACAAAAAAAGGTGTCTATTGGATGCAGTTTGAGCTCAGGAACACGATGATGCTATTTTTATTGGCGTACGATGTCAAATTCGTGCTTAAAAATTGATTTGAAAAATTAATAATTGTTAATTTTTTGCAATAATGCGTATAACTTGGCCATTTTTGAAGATATTTAGCTAAAACTTGCTAGAGTTAGTCATAATAATGCGTTCTATCACAAATATTCCGGTTTTTTCGAAAAGTAAAAAAAAATTGAAAAAAGTGTAAAAATATACATTTTGAATTTTATTATATAAAATTTTCATAATTTTCAAAATTTCGAAAATCCGAGATGGCAGTTTGATAGCGCAGTCTAATCTGAGTCCTCTCATGCAAAGAAATTGGATCTAGCTTAAAAACTGAGCTCTTGGGAGCGATTGCCGTGGTTCAATGTTTTGCGTCGAAATCGGCCGAACATGACGTCACTCTGACGTCATTTCCGGCCGACCTATGGTAGGTACGAAGTTCAGATTTTGACACAAGCTGTCAAATTGATGCAGCCGAAGGTACTGAAAGTTTGGCGTCGATACGTCAAGCGGTTTGGAAGTTATTGCAGAAAAACGGGAGGGGGGCTATAAATAGCCCCCCCCCCCAGTGGGGCGCGGGTTAAGACGAAGAAGATATAGCAGGAAATTTACTCACTTTCATAGGGGCAAAGCCTACCGCTAAAACACGCGAGACCTGTACGTCGATTTGTCATACTACGGTTTGCCGGTAGAGCTGCATTTTGTGTTACTTGTTACGACCCATGTGAAACTCATATGACATGACCCCCACCTCGAGCTTCCATGGCGCTCACATGACCCTCCCTTCCCCGGGATATTCTGTCAGTTGGTTGAACACAATTTTCGTGACCTTCCTCTCATTTTCTTCTTGTCTATTGATCGGAGGGCAATGTTTGTGTTACGTGAGACGCCTCGCTACGCATTTGAAACCTCCTTCACGCTCCATGATCATAATGAGGATCATAATGAGGGCGAATGAGACGACTGTGGGGACTGGCTGTCAATGCTCCGTCATCTGATACCATTCGGTTATCCGTGCCGTAACACTTCGCCACAGTATCAAATATCCGCGAACTCGTCCGCACAACGCTGTGGCCTGTAACACGAACCGGCTCCACGCAAAGAGGGTTCGGGCCTGGGACGATCCGGTGACTAGGTGAGCTGTTGAATTGATACCCCCGAGGCATGCATGAGTATGCATCATAGTCTTGGCTTTCAAGGGCGATAAAGAAGATGAAAAGAAGTGCGGCTCTGGCCAATGTCAATGGCGGTTGATGTTGCTATGAAATGCGCTAAACGAAAAAAAAAATGAACCAATCTTCCACTGGTTGCATTCTGAAAGACTATCATTTAAGTGTCTCAAACAGCTTTGAGTTCATCTCTTTGAACGTCTTCTTTGATCCAGCACCTCAGCGACTCGAGCAAACGGATGCGTCTCTTCGAATGACAAATAATGCGCTAGAGGGTTTGGACACCATAACCGTCTAAAAAAATGCCGTCGCTTGTGTCGCTCAAGTTGACGAGACCACAACCGATAGACATGCAACTGGATACCACGTGTAAGAAATTGATATCGACTATCAATTAAGTCCATCGGTCACCGGGACTCATGCCGCTTCGGTCAGACAGAGTAACAAACACGTTTGGCAGTCCTACGAGAAAAACCGTCAACGATGGCACATCACTTCCTGAGCTGCCGACCTGCTCTGTCGGTAAAACAGCCGTACTGTTGACGAACAAGATGAACCAGCTATCAGGTGTGTGTGTGTCTGCACCGGCCCCGTGCCGCGGCGCACGCTCTACAAAACCGGCGGCTATTTCCTGCGTTGGCGCGCTGCCGACGCGTCGCTCCGTCCGTCGGGCGTCGGTTCCGACGCGTCGACGGCGCTCAGTCGTCGGCGGCGGCGGGCGCTGCTCGGTCCGCCATGGAGCAGCCGGCGGCCAAGAGCGGCTGGCGTTTCCCTCACGTGGCGCTGCTGTACGTGTTGGTGGCAGTGCTGACGGCCGCACAGCTCGCTGGGTTTCTCCTGTTGCGGCACGGCCTCACCGATGCCGATCGTGTGTGTGCCGAGCGGGCGAGCCGCGCAGAGCGTCAGGCGGTCAGCCATGTGACCGAACTTCTCGTGAAGGCGACGCAGGCCTCGCACGTCCGCCACGCCGAGTTCTCCGGCGGTGAGCTGCTGACCCCTCCGCCGGTGTTTGCCCCGGCGGCACAGCGCCGCCGCGGCCGCCGTCAGGCCGCTGAGGGTGAGCAGACCTACTCGGGGCTCGGGCCGGGCACCAGCCTGGCCTCCGGGGAGTTGATACCCCACACGAAGACGACCCGCCGCGACGCACTGGACGAGGGCAGCGGCAGCGGTGGCATCGCCGAGGACGAAGCCCCACTGGACTGGATCCCGTCCTACTCACGGATACCGGTACGTTGCACTCTGGTTCGCATCTACTAGGCAACTGATATTGGGCGTATAATTGGAGTCGGTGTTATGAAACACTTTCGCGGAATATTTCGGTACTTTCTTCTTTCTAGGCTGTAAGTAATAAGTATCGCATCCAAAGTTGTGCTCTTGATCCTTGACTGCATTTGTTTGGATCCGTCTGTCCGTTAGTATGAGTCCATCCATCCGTCGTCCCGTCCATATTCCCGTCTACCCATTGTTACGAGTATCCGTCCGTCCGTCTGTCCTCCCATCCATCTCGTCATGCGTCCATACGTCCGTCTGTCTAACCGTCTGGCTGTCTGTCCATCTGAACGTCGGTCCGTCCTTCCGTCCCACCGTCGGTCAGTTCGTCCGAGTCCATCCATCCGTCCGTGCGTCTATATACCCGTTTGTCTGCCCTTTCGTTTGCCTATTCGTCTGTCCGCCCGGCTGTCCTTCCATCCGTCTCTTCATATGCGTCCGTTCGTCAATCCATCCGTCTGTCTAACTGTCCGTCTTTTTGCCCATCGGTTCGTCCACCCAACGGTCCATCAGTTCGTCCAACTGTCTGTCCGTCTGTCCGTCCCTCTACCCATCCGTCTGTCCGTCCATATGTCTGCTCTTTCATCCGTTCGTCCGTCCATTTTCCGTCTGTTCAGTGTCCGTCTACCTGTCGGTCTGTGGCGTTCTCCGATTATGTCCGTCTGTCTTCCGTCTGTTCCTTCGTCTACCATGAGTCCGTCTGTCCGTCCGTCCGTCTATCCCTCTTAGACGGAGGGATGGCCATACGGCCAAACGAACAGACGGCGGGCGAACAGGTGGCAGACCCTCTGTCCGTCTCCGTATATCCGCCTGTCCGTATGTTATTCTGTCCGTTACCCGTCTGCCCGTCCGTCCCTCCGTCAGTCCATCCTTCCTTCCGTCCGTCCGTTCTTCTGTCCGAAATTCCATCCGCTCGCCAGTGGCGGCGGAACACCTTCAATTAAAGGGGGCCCCTGCCGACTTTTGGTCCCATTCTTTTCATGCAAAGCCCATAGCGCTAATGTTAAAATGCCCAAATCAAAGGGGGGCACGGTGCCCGGTGCCCCCCTCATTCCGCCGCCTATGCCGCTCGCTGGTCCGTTTTCCGTCTGTTCAATGTCCGTCTACCATGGCCAGTCCGTCTTTCGACTCTGTCCGTCTATCCGTCTGTCTGTCCCCCGTCCGTCCGTCACTCGTCCGTCTGGCGTCTGCCTCTCCGTATGTTCTTGGTACATCCGTATGTTCACCTGCCCGTCTGTCCGCTTGTCTGTCCATCCCTCTGTCCGTCTGTCCGTCTGTCTGTCCGTCCGTCCGTCCGTCCGTCCGTCCGTCCAATGTCGGCCTATTCGTCAGTGCATCCTCTGGCTCGGTCCGTCCGTCTGTCCTTTTACATCTTGCCTTTCTGTCGAATGCTCGAGCGTATAAAGCTCAGCCTTCTCCTTTTTCCTCGAACGTCACGATTCTTCCTAACGAATTGCATCTCCTTTTTGTCGAATCCTCAAGTATATATAAAGCCTGCATTCGTCGGTGTTTTGCTGCTTTTCTCGTGGTGGTCCCCGGTGACACACTGTGCTTACACATCTGTCCAGTTGACGAATTCCGGCACGTCATGGCGATCACCAGTGCTGCCAAATCATCACCGTCGTACTATACGGTGGTCCCCAGCGTTGCCAAGCTGTCCCTCGAACAGATGGTCCCCGTCATCCTGGTAACGAGCAACGCAGATGAAAACACGAAACAGATTTAAATTCAGCGGAACTGTCTTTGTAGAATGTTGGCAACTTTGAGCACAAGAAATATAAATTCGGCACTTACCTATCCACTAGCTTTCTGTCCGTCTGTCCGTCTGTCTATCTACCCGTCGGTTTGACGAAGGGCAGACGGACGGACAAACGGTTTCTTCACGTAGTGACTGGCATGAGTTCCACAATGGTAAAAACGACTACAAAGTGTCAAGCGATTTACTGGCCTTCGTAAAAGCCAGCCGATGATGATGTATGCTGATTGGCGATTGGCGCAAACAATGGCGTCGAGATGAGCGAATTGCTGCATGATGTCGGGATTGCACCATGGGTCGATTGCCCCACCTCTTCTCTTCGGGGGAGTTTCAGCTATGCATGGCATCTGATAAATGTGGCGTACGCTCTCCATCAACTGGAGAGCAGCTAATGTTATTGCCTAATGCCCAGTGCCCCTGCGCTAGAGCCAGGTGCTAATACCATTACTAGACCCCAGGGCAGAATCGGCTCGGTCTGCCGTCCGTTCGTAAGCAATGAGTACTGAGCAGGTCTGCGGTCTACCGTGTTTATACACATATAGAGGACATGCTCATAACTGATATATCTGTATATTGCCAGCAAAAAACCTGCATGTTTGCTTACAAAGCACATGTGTTTTCATAAGCGTAGGAACCATGGGTGCAAGGGTGCAGCTGCACCCACAATATTTCTCCAGTGGGTGCAGACAATGTATTCTGCACCCACAATAATCTGAACCAAAAACCCCTTTTCTCATCAACACTACTTTCCATGCAGCACGGCAAATTCAGGATATGTTGCCCACTATCCATCTTTCGAAGCATTTGCTTTTGTGATGGTCTTCAAAACTTACATTTGGCTGAAGAAAAAAAAGGAAATGGAGCATGTGATCGAACACATACCGAGCCGATGACCCACTGTCAAAATTTTTAGCCCGATATCTTCGAAAATGGCTAAGTTGGCCGCTTTTACTTTTTGCGGTAGTCAATATTGACAATATTAACCCTCGCATGTGTGCGGTGTTTTCCAGCTTCTAATGTGTAGGGGGGGGGGGGGCTGATCGAGCTAGAGCTTCGCGGAAAACACGAGGGTGTTGCCCGTGACGAGAGGAAGCCGATGATACCCAATTTTAAGGTCCTAGGTCATTGGTTAACCTTCCAGGTCAGGTTAATGTTCCAAAAGTCGGGAAAGTCGGACCTGCTAAAACTGCGTAAAGTGAAGGTGTTATCGTTTTTTTTCGGGGTGCTGATCACGAATATCATGTAAGTTTTGATCACAGATGATTTCTTCATGCATTTAGGCCAGATCGGTTCAGGTCAGGTCAGGTCAACCATTAGGCGTCCTACCGGCTATCCATAGTAGGTGTCAACTACCACTGACGGCGTCGTAGCATGTTACGAAGGCACTAAAACTACTTCGTAAACGTTCAAATGGATGCTAAATTCGAAATCAGCCCGAAAAACTACCCTAGAAACATGTAATACCTACTTGAAAAGTGAACCGAGGTCATCAAAGGTCAATGACCTGACCTGACCTTCAGGTGACCTTCACACCCACCGTGATGCATGGGGCGAACATCATTTCAAATGTTTGGACGTCTACAATCACAAAAAGACTGGAAACGCGCGGATAATGTGAGCTGACATACGCCAAATCGCGAATCCGGCCGAACATGGTCTCGAGAATCAGGTCACAGGTCAAAGGTCTTTTGGGTCAGGGTCATGAAATTTTCAGAGTAGGTGTAAAACTGATCAACTCGAGGGTACTTAAAGTTTCGTTGCGATCGGCCGCTTTTTGCGTGAGTTATTTGCGAAAAACCATGGGGGGCTCATCCGAACCCCCTACACATGCGAGGGAATTAATGCTTCCAAATGCACTTATGGGTCGGTACCTTTTCGACATGGTACACACTAAAGGTGGCAAAAGATGAAAATTTAGGGAACCAGATTCGAACCAGACCCAGCTGGACGTTTCTGGGACCAATCGGACCCGGTCTTAGTTGAAACCGGAACCAGTTGGACCCGTTCCCCAAAAGTTATTTAATACAAACTACTTTAGGAATCATTAGTTGCATCATGTAAAACAGCCTATTTCCCACTGGGGATACTCATGAGCTACTGTGTGCAAAGAAACATTCACTACATATTTTGCAATAATGTGTAGTGTGCAAGATGTATAGTTTATGGTAGGACCCGGTTGGGCCCGTCAGAAAATTTCCACCAACCGGTCTGGACCCATATGGGTCCCATATGGGTCCAGACTGGTTCTTCGGACCGGGTCCTCGGGTCCACATTTTGCCACCTCTAGTATACACCCCCCTCAAAGCTCGTAACGAGCCTTCGCTCGGGTGTCGCTCCCTACCCCCCCCCCCCCTGCTTCACCGGTCATGGCTGGATTTCTGCACCCATGCACCCACAATGTTCCAGCCGTTCCTACGCCCATGTGTGTTTTATTCATCCATCTGCTTTGTGTTTACCGCCTGCAAATGAATCGGAGCAGACACTGTTCTTTCGTTACGGTTATTGTATGTCAAGGGCGGCGCCACCGTGGGGGCAGTGGGGGCAGACTGCCCTCACTGACAGGAGGCCGTGAGGGCAAGACTATGGTTTTGCCCCCACAAAACTTGGCTGAAGTTGGAAAGGGAACAAGACCTGTGCAATATTCCCGATAGGATAGGATGTGATGATGCAAACAAGGCTACAAAACTCCAATGCAAAGCGGTGGTGATGTGATCACATGCGGAACTTTATATACCGTGGCGGTTGTAGCTACAACCCCAATTTTTAAAAGTACAACCCCAATGGCAAAACTACAACCCCAACATTGGAAAATTAAGAATTAGCCTGAAACACATGAAATTTGAAAATGAACAAAATATGTATCCCTACAGAAGCAGATTATTGAGATATATCAAGAAAGTGAAGATATCAATAAATTAGGACATCTTTTTGAATTCCAGATGCTAAAAACATTTAAAGTGCTCTGTTAAGAACATATTATTCCGCTGAGACAGTGAGCAGAGCATGATATGAAAGTCAATCACTTCACACTTCTTAAGCATACTAGGTGAATCATATTGAAAGTGTTCCAAAAAATCTTAACATGTAACATGAGTGTGAAGCAAAAAAAAATCATAACATTCATCATACTTTTGCAGTGGCGAATCCAGCTCAGAGTTTGAGGGGGGGGGGGGGGCAAACCATAACAATTTATCGATTCTTT